AATTCTAACTCATCCATACGAAATAAACTTGTAAACGTTATTACAAGCATGAATACAAACAAATAAAGTACTAGAGTTTGGAACGAGGAGTAAAAAAACAGAACACCAAGAGCAAACTCCCCCATAACTGGAACCGATCTTTAGGAAAAAAAAATAGCCCCCATGCTCCCCCATGAACCATGATCTACTTAGCCACTCTCATCATCACTTTCTCCCCCTGCTTGGGAGCACACAAGTTAAAAACACAATCATTAGTGCAAAAGCAGAATGAGAAGAGATCTCGGAGACTCACATTGATTGGCTTGGTGCACATCCTGAACTATCCCAGCCAGCTGATGCAGAACGGAGGTGATCTGGTATAGTGCCTTGTTGACAACCCTCTGGCTCGAGTGTCCCTGAAGCACACTGATGTGACCAAGTGAGACATCAATTGGTGCGATAAAACGAGCTGAGCTGGATGGCTTTGACCATTCTGACTCTCTCTTGGTCTTTTTCTTCGGTGCAGACTGACTTAGAACCGGCTGAGCCCTCTTTTTAGACGATGCTTCCTCTTTGACTATCTCAGCACCCTTGGCCCGAGTACGCAAAGACGTCATGGTAGCTCCTGTTTCCTTCTTCTCAATCCTGATGTCCATCTGGTAATACGAAGGAAGAACCACAACATCATCCTCACCAGTCACTGCACCACACTGTTCTTGAATCATCCCACCAATCAAGTGTGGAAACACCAACTTCCTTGTATCAGGCTGCTTATTATCCTCTCTTTCAATCTTGCTTATAGCCATAACTTGCTGAAACACCATTGCTCCAAAATCTAMKCGAACMTTKTGAGCCAATTTGTAGAGAAGCAGGGCTCTGTACTGAGCAATGTGTGTCCGATGAGTCGTCGGATACCAGTTGTACCCAGCCAAAATAGCCAACGCAGAAAACTTTGGAGAGAGATGAACCGTAGACAAGGCTGGTGCCTTCTTGTGACGCTTTCTTGTGGTCTGAACAACAGCCTCCTGAGTCTCAGCACCTCTGAGGTACTTGGCAATGAAATCAGGATCCACTTTGTCAAGTGCTGCAGCCTCTTTCTTCTCTTTGGAACTCAACTCAGACAGATTCADGAACTTGTTGATSCGAGYASGRCTGAACCTCACAAYGTGACCTCTGACTAAGACCAGAACTCCCCCATCAACTAACACGGTATCTCCCAGATTAGCATAAAACTCATTGATTACTTCCCTATCATAACCGACTTAATTGAGACCGTGGGAGTAAACGAGGCATCAGTAATCACARRAGTATACTYACAATCCTTTTGSTTCTCAARATYGACAAGCTTYTCAGCAATAATCCCACGGTTTTTAAACACGAAATACCTCTGATATGCTCCGGCAGAGCAAAACTTGTCGTTTGGGAACGACATATCCTTAGCAATGGAGTCTGCTCCAGCCGCAGATCCTGCTTCAGCCTCCTCTGAATCACCTGATTCAGAGTCTTCTTGCTCTTTAACCTGTTTCCCTTTCTTCTTCTCCTGGTTC